TGAGGAAAGAGATTCCACCCCATGCAGTCCTCTTCTCTGTCGTCCTTGAAGAGCCGTTCCCCGGGTGTGTTGCCACTGTACGTATGCCGTGTACAGGAGCTCCTGAGTAGTGAACTAAAGGACCAAGTTTTCACATCATTCTTCAGTTGTGCTTGGCCAACTTTCTGAAGCAGCTGGGGGAACAGATCAGCCTGCACTTTGAGAGGTGTGTGCTCCATCAGTGCCCGTCAGCGTGGCTAGCACAGGTCGTGCTGGAAAGTGCTCTTGGCCAAAGTAAAAGCAAAGAGAGAAGTTCTTAGTTTTTCATATGTGAAAGGTACACTTCAAGAGGGCTGTTAGCAAAATTACTGCCGATTCAGTTACGGACTCTGCAAGATATTTGAGGGCTATCGCCAATGTGTTCTAGTTTTCCCACTCATGGAGCTTGATGCAGCACTAACCTACAGCACTGTTTTTACTGTGACACTGAAAACCTTTAGTAAGTGAAGTGCGCGTATGAACTGAGAAAGTGGGACTGTGCGTGGATCAAGAGGCGTGGGATCTTCCTTCCCAGCTGAGCACACAGACCCGCATTACCAGGTGCCTGTGACCTCTTCCATTCCCTTTGACTCTGTGTGGACAAAGTGGAATGTTACCTGCTTTTGCCTCTCAGGGGCTCTTGGTTTTTTTTGGAGGCTGTGGATCTATTAAAAAATGGACTATTCTCACTGTGTGGCGCTGCCTTAAGGGTGCCACCCACAGCAGACGAAGGGGTCAAAGGCCTGTTAGGAGGCACCCTTTTACTGTCTTCGGTGTTGTAGCTAGAAATGTGCAATATTAGCAAAGCATTTTAAATGGTGTATTAGGAAACTCTGCAGGTGATTAGGTGGACTTACTTAAAACAAAAAAAGTAGGCTATTGCATTTTCTAGTAAAACTTTATCTGTCTTTTTCCCATCTTGCCAAAGTTACTTGATGGTGGGTTGGAGGCATACTCATATCCCCCAGAAGAGGCTGAAGATGCCACACATCCACCAATACAGATAACCCTTAAGCTTTCAGATGATGTGATGTATTTTGAAGATCCTGTGATAGCCCGATGGGATCCTGCAGGTACCAACTTAGGACAGAAATCTCTTAAATTTCAACAGTGGAATTTGTACCTGAGTGTGACTATTTCCAGAATCCAGCTGTGAAAATAAGAGCCAATTCACAGCCCAGAAATAATTTGGGGTCTTCAATATTATTTGATTTGAGGTTTGGTTTTTTTAGTTCTGTTTTGTTTCTGCATCATATCTAATAACAGACTGCTTGGTGAGGCTTTTTACTGTAGCTTTTTAATATGAATGGAAAAAATATACACACCATTGAATGAGCAGTAGTACAACTGTGTACCACAAATCAAGTTTTGCTAGCATGAAGTCATGTAAAAAGTCCACTTTGAGCCAAATTAGCTCCTAACGAGCTACATGTATTAGTACTAAGTTAAAATACAAAAATTAAATGTTAAAAACCAAATGTGATATTCTAGTTCAAGTACAACAGACCTCTGACTTTACATTAATGAAAGAGAGTAGAACCTATTAAAACAACAGTGTGACAGTTGAAGTTACTGTTGAAAATGAGCTTGTGGACTACTAGATAGCAAGTAAAAAAAATGAGTTACCTTACATTAATATTTGTAGTTCTTCTGAGGTTAAGGAGAAGCTTTCCTCTCAAAATTAGACCAATCTTTTACTTAAAGACAAGTAAAATGAGGGGAGTTTTTGCCTTAAATGAATTCTTTTTATTTTGTACTTAATGTTTTACCTTAACTCTGAATAGTAGTTAACCTGGGATGTCTTTACTAACTAACTAATTTTTCCCCAGTACATATCAGAAGCAGAAGCTTTTACGTCTACATCTTTGTACTTTTGCATCCCTTTTGTAAAGGGCAGCAGTGGAGAACTGATGGCATTGGCAACATAACGTATGAAACGCAAGAGAAGAGTATCACCTTTGAGATGGACGCCTTCTATACAGTAGCACTTCTCCAGGATGCCCATCTCAACATGCCGTATCAGGCATGGGAATTGCAACCTACTGGTACAGATGAAGCCCTACTTACAGTTACTACAGTCTTTGCAACGATTCAGATACAAGTTAAGGTACAGTAAATAGTTTTTTTTTAATAAAAGACTTGCAGCTTTTTTTTTTTCCAAAAGAATTATTACAGTGTCCTTTATTAAGAACTTGGGAAGCTTCCACAAGAGCAATTTGAATCTCACTCTACCTGGTTGAAAATGAGGCAGGATCTGTTCCTTTCTGAACACTGTAAGGAAAAGAACTGGTAATTTAATTTCAGTTATTTTCTGTGAACTGGTCAGAAGAAAGAAAAGTTCCCATAAGTGCTTTGATATTGATACTACCTTGCTGAATTCAGAACTGTTTCACCAGCTAGAGACTTAAAAATTGTTCCTCTCTGCTCCCAACTATACCAAGAGAAATAAAAGCATTTCAAGCAACCTACTACTTCATGCTGCATGTCCCTTCTGAAGGTTCATGTTGTGCATCATCATTATCCATGTGCTCATTGCCATATAAATCAGTTCAGTAACAGGTGTGATTTTAAAAGGGTCTGTGTGAGCATAAGCGTAGACCACCATCATTTCTGAAATCCTACAGACAAGTGCCTTTCTTCAGGATCTGTGAATGAAAGTTTACAGCTCAGTGGCAGATATGTATGCAATATCCAGAATAGCAGAGATATGTCAGTATATTTTGATGCCTAAAGCAGAAAATAGCTTTCATGACCAGTAAGTTGCTTTCACTGGTTTGTGCAACAACAGGATAATCAGTGTATGTTGTCTTCAGTAGTGGTGGAAGAGAAGGATGTGCTTTCCCACATCACAGGAAAATGGACAAGTCCAGTTGCCCTAAGAGCAGTTTTGAAAAAAGCTGGTGTGAATATTTTCCCAGGAGAGTATTCTCACAAGTACGTCTCTGTGAACAAGAAGGTGAGTGCAAGAGTGTGTGGTTTACATGTTGGTTTTTTCCATCTGTTTCTCATTTAGGTAACATTTTCTTGTGTGAAAACCAGTTGTGCAGAAGCAGGTGGCAAGCATGCAAGTGTTCTGCCAGCTTAGCCAGTGGGTTTTGGTTAAAGCAAGCTTTTTCTTACATTTATATGACAGAGAATTAGACTGACTGGTAGGCATATGTATTTTCTAACTTGTACTTTTGTGTTACAGGCTCCCCTAGCAGAAGTCCGGGCCTATCAGCAGATGGCACTGGTTGCATCTGCTTTTGCTTTTGCCTGGAGCAAGTGGAATCTAGAAGCAGGTCAAGAGCAAGTAGTGTTCAAGGTTTGTGGTTTTAGACTAAAATTCTAGAGAAAACCAGCACACAGAGCTCTGTCATAGTTAGACAGAAACAATTAACTTCTTTAAGTAACACTTATCTTGAGCGTTGTCTTCAACCCCTGCATACACTCTTAGTGCAGCAGTTTTAAGACTTAGGCTTGACTACTTACTTAGCAGTGCTCAGCAAACCTTCAGAGCCTGCTTCTCCACTGCTTCACAGCCCATGCACATCTCCCTAGCAAAGACACTTGCTCATGTGCGAGGATGTGTAACTGTGAGCTGACCAGCTATCGAGGCTTTAGCCAAGGCTGGGATGATGGGGGCTGTATGCTGATTTTCATGAGGTGTCCTACTGTAGGGGGGGGCCTCTGAACAGCCATCTAATCTGCAAGGACAAATTAGTATCTGGACATTTCTTCTTGCCCATATGGGGTTTCATGTGTTCACTACTGTAAAGGATTGATTTGTTTCCATCTGCAAATTAAAACACATGTGGTTAAAACTTTCCCCAGGCAGTCAGAAAAATAGTCCCAGTTGTGGTTGCAGATACAGAACAGACCACAAATGCTCAAGCAGCTTTCCTACTCTCTCGAGTTAAATGCATGTGACATATACATACAAATATTTAGCCTAATACTTAATCCCAGGAGCAAGAACTAAAACAAGTGATGCCTGTCACACCTAGCTACTCCCTCCACAGGAGTCAGGAGCAGTGAGAAAGCTGGAGTGGCCAAACCTTGCGTTTTACAGAAGCAAACTAGATGGAAGGTTGTGGTGTTGATACCGTACCTGGTAGACAGTCTCTTAGGCACAGAGCGCTAATACTGTTTTTTGGAGTTTAAAGCAGGGCCTTGGTTTTGTTTCTGCATTACAGTCATGAGCATACAAGAATTTAATACTAGAATGGGTAGTCTGTCAGTGTGTCATCTTTCTTACAGCACTTTTTTTTTTTCCTGCAACAGGTCAGTGAGCATCTTAAAGCAGATTCTGTCAAAGACTGGTCTCTTTACATGTTTAATGGTCAGAAAGCCCAAAAGCTCAAGATTACTGAAACCAGTGAAGCTTTTTCAGAAGAGCTAGAAGAAGATTCTGAATTTCACTCCACACTCTACCATATGCTTAAAGACTCTGCCAGCACAGCAGCAATTGAGAAAGTGGAAACAGCTAGCTTCCTGTTTATTGATGTCATATATCAGCTATTCCTTGCTACAAGACTTTTAACATACTCTTAAATACTGCATGCTTTCCTTTAAAACTTTATTACCAAAAGCTCTCAATAAAGTTACATTTCAAGTCTTGAATCCTTTTCTATTCAAATCACTGAAACAGCTTCAATGACTAAAGTGGCAAACATTCCGTTTTTGTTAAAGCAAGATAAGTTCTTCATTCTCTTGTGACTAGACCGCTTAGTCATATTTATTGTTAGCTGTGTTCCAAATCACTAACCTGAATAGAACTGAGACCCTTGTAGGTACTTGTAAAGAAAGATGACTTGTGTCAGAAGGGGGAGGGGAAGGAAGTATTTTTCAATTTCAAGTCAAGTCATGCTTTTAAAAAAGCAAACAATCTCCCCCAAAAACATCCACAACCCAAACACGTAATCTTAAATATACTATCTATCTCAGCTTCTCATACCGTCATCCAGAACTCAGAAGTATAACTAGAAAAGTCAGAGCCTTTGTTATACGGGGGGTGGTCCGTTGTGTTGAAGTCCTGTGTACGGCCACAACAGTTGCTGTAGTGAAGTCCAGGAGTCCCCAGTTCCTACAGGTGCTGCATCTGCTGGTCTTTGAAGAGACAGCCCAGTGAGGAAGCTTGTAAGAGCAGCAAGCAGTACCAGGATGGAAACAGAAACCCAGAGAGTTTTGTTAGCGTTGGAAAAGGAAGTCTTGAGATGGGATGCCCATGATGACATTAAATTGCATCTGCACAGAACAGCAAGGTCATAGAGTGGTTCAGTTTTTCTTCAAAACTTGGTAAACCTTCTTCCCATGCCACTTACCCACCCCAAAAAACCCTAAAGCAGATCCTTAACTGTCAAAAGTGATGAGGTTGTTATTGTACTGGGAGCTGTGTACAGTGGTATCTTACATTCTGGATTTAAAATGCAGACCTCAGTAAGCAGGCTCTTGCTAAGCTGTTTAGGTGACTGACCCAACTCATAAGACCACCCCTGCTCCCTGTACCACACACAGTTTCTGAAGGGGACTCACAAAAGCTGCCTTGCAAATCATCAAGAAATCTTCCTTGTAGAAAGCGCTGAAAGTACTGGCCTTATGTTTTGTTTTCTAGGGCTTTGGTGCCTTCCTTGAGGTTAGGGAGAAGTCTTGCTCGCTCTGACTATCCAAATCCTAGACTTCTCATGACATCAAGTACCTCCATCGTTAACAAACAATGAAAAAAACCCCAATATATATCTGTTCTTGCCGCCTTCTCAGTTTTACACACTAGCGTAATTGTCTCGTCTCCCCCTTTGATCAGAAATGCTCACAGTGGAGGCTTAGCATAGGATATTCATATGGAATAAAAACAGTTTCTCTGCAGAAACAGCAGACCTCCTTTCCTCTAAGGAAGGAACTTCCAAGGGATACTTGCTGAGAACAGCACTCTCCTCCTTGACTTGAGATATTCCAAGAAGTTAACTGGAATAGTCTGGAGTTAGTCATGGTAACTACTTGTGTCTCAGTGTGTGCAAAGCTGCTGTTAAGTTTTGCACAGGCCTCAAATCCTTGATCATTTTTAGAAGAGTATGTGTTAGCATGACCTAGTGGCCTGGCTGTAACAGCTGTCACAGAGTAACCAAAAGAGGTGGGATCATAGCATGAGGCTCCTCTACCTCACCATTTCAGATTAGTAATGAATCTCTTGTGGGGTGAGTCTCTGGCACCTGACATTACTTATTCCCAGTTGGTTTGCTTAAGATGTCGGCATTAACCACCAAACCAAAGCTACCACTTCGCATCCTCTTCCCATGTCCGCCACCCAAACACTGCTTTACCTCAGACTGATGTGAGAAAACTTACACTGACTCTAGGTTCCATTTTGATGAACATTTTCCTTTTTCAGAGATACTTTCCTTCCTTGACAGTTCTTCTTGTACTTCAGCAGGTGATTCCAACTGCTCATTTCTGTAAGCAAGCATCAACAGTTCCAAAGTTTTCCATCAAGCGTTCAGCTTGACAGAGCTCAAAGCTTGACTTTACAGCCCTGATGAGGTGGTGGACAGTTAAGAGTTCATTAAAACAAACCAACCCACCCTACACACACCCCCACACCCACCTCGGAGGACGTCTGTGTTGAACTTACTTTGTTTCAGAATGTTCGTTGTCGTACTCTGCCCAGGAATATGTGCTAATGAACCGCTGTAGTGAAGGACGCTTCTCATTTTGCTTTGCTCCTAGTCGTCCCCTGTCATATTTTAAACAAAATTTGCCTTAATTTCCCCTGTCAGATATATAGCTGGAGATTAGAAATTCAGCAGTAGCCTACTCATTTGGGTAGGCCTTAGACAAATAAATTCCAACATTAGTTGCCTGAAATTAGGATTTTTTTTTTTTCCCCAAAAAAACCCCACCCCAAACCAAGATCCATCAGTGCCAGCTGCTTACATTTCATATTTTAGTTCAACATCAAGAAAGTCATGGTAATTTTTTAAAACTCTCAACCCTTAATAAAAAAATATAAAAAAAGATCTCTAACATTTAGTCATGAAGGCTCATATTTACCTATTGAAGCATGTAAAACTAATGGGAAATGTGTAGCCTAAACATTATTATACCTCAAGATGCTCCATAAGCTGCTTAATACAGGCACAGTTAGAGTTGAAAAATATATAACCCTATTCAAAGACAAGTCCAAGTAACTTTACCAATTGCTTGATCTCCTGTTGAATTTATCACTCCGTTCATCTCCATCAGGTTCATGGAGTAGGGCCTGGAGAAGAAGTTTCACAGACTTACTATATCCACATTTTCGCGCTTCAGCTGAGCCAGTTTTGAGAAGGTAAAGCACCTCCACCACCTGGGAACCCTTACTTACCAGCGGCAGCCCAATACCTGCATTTCCAGCACTCCTAGGCAACGCTGCAATGCTAACTCTTCGTAGGGATGACGATGGCTATACAGATAAGAGGCGTTACTGACTATCAAGGAATGACTGGATTACTCACTGATCACATAAAATACCATCTGTTTTTATACAAAGTGTATAAAAAAAGCTGATACTTAGCTTGAAGTGACACACAAATCAAATCATAAGCACAGCCCAAACCATATTCTTTAAAGCAGCATCTTTCCACATTAACTGCTTTTTCCCTGCTAAGCATCTGAAGTGAGGCTGGCTGCACAGCTTCCAGCAAGATACTAAAATTGAAGGCGTGTCAGTTCTCATAATGGTGCTCACAGGAATTCCTATGGTCTATATGAATTACTCCCATCTATTTTTTTTTTTTCCCCACTCCCTCTCTGCTAAACCCTTCTTCTGTAGCCCTGATGAGAACCATACATCAACAATATTTCTTAACCATTGCATGAGAGCACAGCTATTTCAGCTTCTGTGAACACTTCATCTTCTAAGTGGGACCACATGCAGTTCCCTCAGGTTGGTGGGCATGACTGAAAAAAACATATCCTCGTGTTTGATAACATCAGCCCATATTTGAGACAGAGAACTACAGAGTCAAGCATGTAGCAGAGCACCAGCACATGACAAGGCAAACACACGAACACACACACACTTAAAAACACATTTGAAATTTCATGTTAAGCTGTAACAGCCATTACCTTAAAGTTAAAAGAATTTGGTAGTTTTTTATTTGTAGATTCATCTGTGAAGAGATCAAACAACAGAAAGGCTTACAGGAATGCAGTGAGCTTTATTTACAACTAAAGGTCTGACTTTTTGCAGTATCTGTTTAAGTGAAGAGTGTATCAGAGTACTCTCAGAAAGCAGAAGAGAACACTTTTTTCCTGAAAACTCAATTTCATTACATAAGTTTATAATATTCACACATTATATATCCCCTACAAGCATCAATTTCTGTTGCTATCATTAAAGGTATTCTTCTGTTATCGAGGCAGTGTCCTGCTACAGGACAATATTCTACAGTCAGGAAGGAACAGCCTGTGATTCAGATGGGTCCTGCAAGGATTTTACCAGTGTGCAGGATGGCCCTTTCTGTTTTTAAAAATACGTGCTCTGTTTTTCAAAAGAATTTAATCCTTCTCTGGCAAAGCCACAAGTACACGGTGCCATCTGAAAACGTGACCACTGTACCATCTGCTTAGAGGGGGAAATTCAGAGCACCTGCACTTAAGGAGTCTGTGATTCCTATTTAGAAAAGAGCAGGAAGCATCTGTAGAGATCAGTCGAAGCTCAGCTACCTCAAAATAGCTACTGGGAATGCTCCAGTGTGAGGGAGCACCCAAATTTACCGCTCACAAGGAATAATCTTATCACCACCACACGCAATGAACTTTTCGAAAAGCCAGAATATTACTGCATACTTGCAATGTCCCCCCTGCCCAGAGCTTCACGACAATTTACATACAACTCTAGTTTCAGAGAGCTGTATCTAATACTGTTAGTAAATTGCTTTTTTTAGGAAAGGAGAAAACACAGTCATATAACCCCTCCACCTAATATGTTAAGTTTAAAATAGGTAAGTGTCTATCTGGCAGGTGCTAGAAAGAGAAAAAGACAAAGCAGCTCTTCAGTTACCTCGATCTCCAAGAGAACTGAAGGATCTCTCATTCTGGAGCAGGACCTGTTTCAGCTCCTCAAGTTCTGCATGTTCTTTTGTGTACATGCGCTTCAGGTTTTCCACATGCTGAATCATTACTTCCACAGCCTTGCTGACACGGCTTTCCTAATAGAGCAAGTGCAACAGCAGTAAGAAAAAGCAGCTGCTCTTTGAGGAACTGCATCATGTTTAGATTTTAAGTCTTCCGCCCCTCTACCCCCCCCAACCATCTATTCTCATCTTGTATCACTGTGATGCAACATCTTCTCATTTTTGTCTGCCCTTTCAATGTTTCACCACAACCCATCTCCCAACACGTGCCCAAGTGACACCTGTCTCATGTCCCCAGTGATTATTCTCATACTAAAATAAATTAGTCTCCATTTTCTGAGCCCTTACAACTCCTCCTCATCTCTTTCTCTAATCTATAGTCTCAGCTGCCACCACGCAGTTGCTAGCGTTGCCAAGTCATATTTTCACGCTGTTCTTTGGCATTATCCACAATTACACATAACATTTGAGCAGGTCTTTGTAAGCCTCCATAGATTTAGCTTATTAGCTGCCCTTTCCACAAGGCAGAGAAATACCGTTAGAGCATCAAGACTATTGTTACCACATTGCATTCTTGTGCTCTCCACTGTATACACCCCTCTGATGCAAAGTTTATTCTGGACTTTTGTGTGTTTGGGGTTTTTTTGTTTGTTTGTTCTAAATCAGGACCGTATTTCTGTTGTGTGTTTTTGCACAATGTTAGTGCAGTGTAGCTGCTCTCACAGTGCCTGGCATTCCTTATAACACACCAAACAGTGATCTGAGAAGAGAAAGCCAGGACTAAGCTGTACTGGTCAATCTGCATTACATACACAGGATTCCCAAATCGAATTCTGTAATCAGAAGCCTAGCAAACAGATACTGCTATCCCTTTATATCTAGAAGCTTTTAACTTTGTACAAAATACATTTTCATGGAAAGTTACCTGATTGATAGCTCCCAACATCTCTGCTCTACTAGCAACTCGGGCTGCATACTGGCTGAGGAACTGCAAGCTTTTCTGCAACTTCTTAATAATCTCTTGCGCTTGGTTATCTTCTTCACACAGAGGAACTAAAGCCTAAGAGGCACATTGGTAAGAAAAAACAGTGTGAGCTGTCAGTAGAGAAAGAGGGGTGAACCCAACTGATGATGCTGAGGAGTTGCATCCAGGACCACAGAGTCACAAGATCAGCATCCAACATCCTGATCAGTGTAACCTGGATACAGATCTCCAGCAGGCAGAGGCTCAGCTTACCTAGCATAAAGTCAGCTGCAGATAGGGGTTCTTGCCCGACATCTCTGCAATAGAAAATTTCCCCACTGCCTGAGCGTACAATACACTCAGAAGGCAGCTACCTCTCAAATGCAAAGTCTCCCATATTTCAAGTACATCACTCAAGAATTTCGTTCAGATTTGCTTATTATGTATTACACACACAAATCCTAAAAAAAAAAGCGCTGTGTTAAGTGAGACACTTTCACAACCATTCATCCTATCCACCCTACCAGCCTTGGCCATTACTAACCTCTAACATCTTTAGAGCATTTGTGATCTCCTTTTTCAAATTTTCTTCAGCCAAGTCTCGAGACCTTTCTTCAAGCTTCACTCTCTTGTCCAAAGTAAACAAGTCACATTTAAAACCTAAAGACAACCTCAGAAATTCAGCCTGTTGTGGGAAAGGAAAAGATTTCAGAATAATCCAAGGGATGCAGAAGCTTTTGAGGTAGATTTGGATACTGACATGACATTTGGGACTATACCCCACAAACAGTTATAGGAGAGCTACAGAAGAGAAAGCAAACACGGGCCGTTTCACCAAAGCCAGTCTTCCCATCTGTAGTGATGGGGGAAATAATCTGCAGCCAGAATAGGTGATACCCTGGCAGCACGCAGTGTGCCATCTGTGCCTTTTGACAAAAACTGTCTTAAATCAGCACATTCTGCCTGGGACAAGGTCACAGCTATGCTCCTTCAAGCTTGCAAACAAATATTTTAGTAGTGACAAATCTTTTGTTCAGATTTGCCACCTTTTCCCATCTCCTCCAAAATTTCAATTGGGCTTGGAAAGACAGATCTCAGAAGGCAACTTCTAGAAATATATCTAGTTTAAGCTACTCAGCACCATTCTTTTGTATGGGACAAGTTAATCGGGGCTTATCGACAAGATCTTTCTGTTGTCCGAGATACCTAAGGATACAAGCAGTTAAGACTTACCTCCACTTCTTTCTCATTAGGAGAGTCACTGTAGGGTAAGAAGAAACAATCATGTAATAGGCTGCAGCTTTAAATTCATAGCTGCAGGTGATCGTTGAAAATAACACACTTACGGCTCATTTTGCTTTGTTTTATCTGCTTTAATGCCACCTGCAGTGGGTGAAGTCCCTGGGAAGAGAGAAGAAAAGTTCTCATACAAAAGTGAAAAAACAGCTTGTGAAAGTCTCTTAAGTTCCAGCAGAAGCCACTGTTAAAAATTGACAGTGTTAATAAAAGTTTATCTTGCCAATAAATCTAATTTGTGTACATTGGAGTACATTATGGTTGGTATTGGTAAGAGAGCGCAGCACTATCACTTGTACAAAACCACAGGAGTTTGTTGTTTAGTTGGCTTCACCTGGCATGGCATTTATTTGGTACAGGAATGATCAATTATAGGTTTTAAGTCCCCGGCCCAGAGGCTCGGGATGTTACGTGACTTACATCACTAGCTTTTAGTGAACTCCAGAAGGCAAAAGGTGAGGCGATTAGAAGAGTGGAGATGTCTAAACACAGTTCAGTAGAAACATCACACTGCTTATCTACACCGTATTACCCCAAACTCTAGCTAGCATAAAGGATGCTGTTTTACAAATATTTGGGGAGGGCAGGCATGCCAGAACTGTTTCAAATATCCCAACTCCTTTGCAACTTCCAAGTTGTCTCTCCTGTCTAGAGGAAGATGGAGCTGGTCAGAGAAGCAGGTTTTGCATAACATTTTCCTTCTCTCCACTGCTAATCCATTTTGGTCTCTAACTGCAGCTAACTATTCTTTAAAATGAACACCCCTTATAACAATTCGTGTGGGGCAGACAGCTCTCCGCAGCTCTTTACACAGGTCCTGACACAAGTGACCAAGGCATGCACTTACACGAATGTGTTCGGCAAAAACCTCTTACCTTTCCTACTGGGAACCACAGCTGGTGCTTCCTCACTCTGCTTTTTATTATTTTTCTTTTCCTGGTCCACCTCCTAAAGGCATATCAGAGAATAGTTATAGCAAGGGAAGAGCCACACCACCACTGGAGGGGCCTGTCCCCTCCTGCAGTATTTTTCTTGCCACTGCTCACCAAACCAGTGCTATGTTTCACTGCCACTGGGAGTCTTACCGGGTCTTGCTTTAAAACGTTTTGAAACGTGGTTTTGTGTTCTTCCATCATGGGGCAGAATTCCTTCTTGGTCACATCCATTCCTGAGGAGAAATATTCCCAAAACCAAATGTAGCAGTAAAAAAAAAAAAACAAACCTCCAACACCACGGACCAACAGGGCTAAAAGAAATTGGAGCAAATGCCAGGAGGGAACATTGAGAAGGAGAGGCAGCAGCAAAGAACACTATAAAGGAAGAAGTATGATGATAATTATGTTTGGCTTGGAAAAAAAAAGTCCCATTAAGATGCGTTACATGTCTACAAGTGGGAGTATTACTCCTGGTTGTAGTTGCTCTAGCTGAAGTTGCAAGAGTTACAGTAACATTCCCTTGGATAAATGAATTTCATTATTTGATACCAGCATGGTGGGGTTCTTTTTGTTTGTTTGTTATTTAAAGAGAAAGTTTATAATTAATTTTTATTTGGAATTCTATAAGCACAGGAATATATAAAAAAAAAATCCCATGCACAAACTAACAGGAGAAGCGATGAGTATTTGTAATTCTCTTCTTTCACGTTACAGAACATCCAATGAAGTCAAGAAATAGATGCTGCTTCAGCTGCCTTCACAGAGGAGCTTGAGCACAACCAGGTCATGAAACACATACAGTTGTTGTATTTCAGGCATCCATAAGCTTCAAATATAGTCTGACACTTGGACAGTCCTTTGTACCTAAAAGCTGAACTAGCAGGGTGCTGACAGAGCTGACAAAATAACTCTCTTTCCCAGAAGATGAGTGGTGATGAACTGCTAAGTTCAGGAACTGATGATGCCAGTTCAAATGCAACACAGACTTTCAAGTGCTGCAATTTAGAACAACTTTAAAGCAGGCAAAAATAATCTCCAGCAAGACAGGTATTTAAAAGTTTTTAAAAGGAAAATATTTAAGAAACTGAAGAAAGTCCAAGAGTCACACTAATTTCTAGCTTACCAGTAACTCTGGTAGCTATTTACAGCTTTTAGAACATCTAGAAATGTTTTTTTCCCCCTTTTCTGTTTATGTAGTCATACACCCACACAGATGCAAACCAAACAAATGGCATAGGAAAAACAACAACAACAAACAAGCCACCTTCAGATTTGAAGTGCTTTCTCTTTTCATCCTTCACATGACCATCAACCTCTGCTTAGCACTCTCTTTCGTCCCTGCTGATTTTTGCAGCAGCCCTACGTATCTGACCTGGCTCCCAAGCACCTTTAGAAGACATTGTGTGGTACTAGCAAAAACCACAAGTGGAGATTCATCAGTGTCTCTGTTCTAATACTAGAAATACTTTCTGTTCAGAGATGTACACCAGACAGCAGATTCTCAGACTTTAAAGCTATTTGGACTCTTTCTGATCTGTTTTGCATATCTGTTTCCTCCTTGCCAAAGGCACCCAGACCACATATGAAAATTATCAGTAAAGGCAAATTAGTAGAAAGAAGATACATTTAAGTGAGGAGACTGAGTTAGGTTTCAGGAAGAGAGTACTAAAGAAAGAAACAAAACTAAACAAGAAATTACCTAAATATAAGGCTTTTTGTGGTCAAGGTTAAAAAAATTGTTATAAACAAGCACGTACACGTATTCTGTGCTGCTTATTCCGATCAGCTTTTTTAAAAATAGCTTAAATACACTGTGTGCACATACTCCAGTTTTGTTTTGCTTTTGGTTTTTAAGTGGAAGAAGCACCAATAGGTCTGGTAAGAGTAATTCTTCTGGATGTTTATGGCTACAGCGAAAGACAGAACCATACACAAAGGCTTCTATCCTCATCTCTCCTTTTGACCAACCTAGGTTCTTGTGCCCTCAGCATCAGTTTTAAAAGAGAACAAAGTGTTATTTAGTCTAGCTGTGTCACTTAACTTTTAAAAACAGTGAAAACATTCTGTCTCCTCCCCAAATTGCCTGAGGTTTCTTACCCACACAATGTTTTGCCAGCTGAGCAAGCATCAAGATTTCACTAAGTTATTTCATGTTTACTTCTGGCAGTGCTGTATGCTACCCGCTTCCTGTGAGTAGGTAAAAACTTATTCCTACTCAGTTTCAGGGAGGGTTGAGAGCACTTGCAGACAAAAGTGAAATTTTATGTTCAACAACATAAAAATCACAAGTTGTCATTAAGTTATTTTTCTTACTCTGCTTCCTCACTTCAAAGATGTGCTGGAAGCAAGCGGTTTCCTCACTGCATGAGGGCCAGCGCGCTGCAGTGGTTACTGTACCTGATACAGGACCAGCCGGATCCTTATTGTTGTTTTTCTCCATTGCTACAGAAGTTGGCATATCTTCCTCTTTTTCACGTGAGCACTTGGGTGATTTTTCATGCATAACAAGGCAGCCTATAACGTCAGGCAACAGAAGACAGAGCTCTTGCTGTTCAGTACAGGTGCAGACTTGAGCACATCTATTTCCAAGACTTTCAGTGCAAAAAGTTCCCACATCTGTGCCCCAAATTAAAGGCCTTACCCGTTACTGGTGCAGTGCTTTCCAAAGAGGATGTAAGAACTTCTTGGGGTGATGTTAAGTGATCACTGCCAAAACAAAATTCTTTCAGATACTCATCCGTATTATACAATCTTGATAAAGACTTTTAAAAGCTTGCACAAAGCCTGACCTGGACGGCTTCAGACTGGCTGGTAGTGAAGGCTCTGCACAGTCAATCTTAATAGAAAGAGAGAAAAGTTAGTATCAGGGAAGGGGTTGCCATGCAAATAGAAAATTCGTATGTCAAAGTATTTCCTCTAGCTGTGCCTAAATTATTTCAGCAGTGAAGAACTAGCTAGTATGTGCATGAAGATTCATCTACCAGTGCAAAGCCACCCATATATACAGTATGTAACTTAGCGTGTTATCATCATTAGGAGTGATAACTATGTTTTTGTAGAAATCTTATCTCAGGAATATCACATGTTTTGCTTCCAACGCACATTTTCAAGTGACCAACGTACATGTTACCATACCACTGTTCTATCTTAATGCTGTGCATCAAGAGACATCCATTTTCAAGGTCTTGACCTCAAACCCCACAAGTGAGGTGCAGACCACTTCACTTGGCTATTGATGTCAGACTCATTTAGGTAAATTAAAGTGTTACTATTAACAGCTCAACTGAGCAGATGATTCAGAACACAGAAAACTTGCATGTTGTGTTGTACATTTTAGTGCATGTGTCTTTGAATTACACTGGTTTTCAATATTATATATAATAATTACCCAGCCAGTTCAGAAGGCTTCAGGCCTCCTTCTTTGTATGCAAACAGCAGAGAGGAATTCAGCAGTTAAAGGCTGGTATGTAGCTTTGCTCATGTTGCTTTAACCGCTACAGTGCTGTTTGGGACCCAAGTCTTATCACATCACAGACAAAACCAACATCCTCTTAAGTCTTTTAATATGGCAAGGGAGATACCGAACAGGAAATATCCCTCTTCTTCATTTCTCCCTGGGTAACTCCAATTTGTTTATTCAATTGATAGATGGGTCTCTATGGGTGAAAATACAGGGTGAAACAGAGGTTTAAAGGGTTAAGTTGGTAATGACTTTTGATGAACTCCACCCACTGCTGAAGAAGAGTGCTGAATAGAAGAAAAAAACCTAACAAACCGAAAACACAACCTATCTCCAAGCAGAGACATACGAAGCTTTGGCTAGCTCCCTACATATCAAGTGTCCAAGAGCACTACTGAGATGGGGGGATGACTACAACAGAAAAACCGTATCAGTGAGTAGTCAGCTATGTTCTGGTATCTTCAGAGGACCCAGGAAACCCAGCAAAGTAGAAAAGGAGGTGACCAAGGCCCCAGGTTACTTCTGAGAGCAACCGACTGCTCCCAGCATAAGTGCCTTCTCTCTCTTCTCTGCTCCCTCACCCATCAGAGCTCAACGGCACTCGCAGAGCCTTGCCCCAACCAGCCAGATATTTCCTCTAATGCAAATCCAGGCTATTTTTATTCTTATTTGAATTCTCTATTAAGCTTAAGGAAGTACAGCATTGCATTTTTCTTGTTCAGGACATTAAGTCTACAGGAGCATTGGGGAAGGAGAAGGTCAAAATGAATAGCATGTTGGAATGAAAACAAAAGAAATCTAAAGGGCTTTTAAAACACACACTCCCCCCCCCTCAAGCAAAAAAACCCAACCCCTGCATCACCTGGGAATGACTAAAGGGATACATTATTCTACATGCCCTCTCCATCCCTAGGTAATCACATGGTCAGTGGTTTGTGTTTGCAATGAAGAAAAAACAACCCCTAATTCAGCGTTTAAAACTCCGTATTGAGTATGAGGATTGTGAGGTCCCATGGATTGCACAGGGTACACTTAAAGAGAAAACACAACAAGAAGAAAAACCCACATTCTAGATTTCCTAATAAAATCTGTTTGCACAGGGCATTAGAGAATGGTTCTTCCTAATAAAAGGACTGTGTCAAAGATTCTGTAGTACATTCCTAATCACTTTTTCCCCCTCCATCCCTTTGATTAGCTTAATAATTCAAGGATCCTCTATCAGAGCAGAAAAATTCTGGCCACAGTCTTGTATAACTCCTCCCAGACAAACATTAGCATTTGGAAGGCCTATCATCTGGTTTTTAGACTGTGATATGACTTTCATATTTGTAAATCAAAACAAGTCTAGAAAGCCCAAGCTTCATCTGGCTCTCACAAAAGCTCCTTTATTAAATAGCCCCTAAACTCCTATGGTGACAATGCTTTAACAAAATAATTTGAGTTACTTACATGCTGAAGGGCTTGATCTGCTCAAACACATCTGTAACCACAGTGAATGAAAAAAAAAAAACCCAAAAAACTAGGGAGACTTCTCCTATTAAACAAGGATATTCAAATTTTGCTGCACGTCACAGATTTTAGAATAGATACTGGACACAGCCTGTTTGCCTTTTCTCTGGGGCAAGCTTTAACATTTTACTTTTCCCCCTCTAGAATATTCTCATGGAAAGCTTATATGAAAAAAAAAGGCAAAAATGGAAAATTAAATTTCTGAGCCCAGCTGGAATTACAGAATGCTCCAGAGCAATGAAGCACAGGCATTTCAAACAACTT